GAATCAAATTTCAAATTTATTAAAGCATGTACAAACTAGAAAGGCAAATGGTGACAGCACTTGTGTTGGTGAAGGAGCGAAGTTGAGGTGTTCTTATAGGAGCTTTGGTTATATGACATTGACAAAAAAAGACTTCTAAATACTAAAGAATGCATTTTAACTATAATTAGTTGAGATATTGAGGCTCAACACTGGATTGCCTTGAGGTGTTCTTATAGGAGCTTTGGTTATATGACATTGACAAAAAAAGACTTCTAAATACTAAAGAATGCATTTTAACTATAATTAGTTGAGATATTGAGGCTCAACACTGGATTGCCTTCTCTATCAAATATGGCCTATTGGAGTTCAGCTGTTGCCTTTGGTTTTTGTTTTCCATCAGCCTCGTATTGGCAGAATGATATGTTAACTTTTTTAGCCAGTCCGATGCGGGGTACGATGGTCATTCGTAAGCAGTTTATCGAATCGAATGATTTAATCTGTTTACGCAATTGTTAACATCATAAACATAGTAATTAATATACACAAAATTACCAGAATCAAATTTCAAATTTATTAAAGCATGTACAAACTAGAAAGGCAAATGGTGACAGCACTTGTGTTGGTGAAGGAGCGAAGTTGAGGTGTTCTTATAGGAGCTTTGGTTATATGACATTGACACAAAAAGACTTCTAAATACTAAAGAATGCATTTTAACTATAATTAGTTGAGATATTGAGGCTCAACACTGGATTGCCTTCTCTATCAAATATGGCCTATTGGAGTTCAGCTGTTGCCTTTGGTTTTTGTTTTCCATCAGCCTCGTATTGGCAGAATGATATGTTAACTTTTTATGCCAGTCCGATGCGGGGTACGATGGTCATTCGTAAGCAGTTTTTCGAACCGTAGAACACCTAATGTGTGTAACACTGTCACATTCTCAGAGCTCAAAGCTGGGCGTACTATTCAATGGATCCCCTTCTTTCGGGGTACCACCAGAAGATTGTCACATGGTTGACGTGAAAGTATGACATTGTTGGTGGTTTGAACTAGAAGAATTGGAATGGTACCACCAGAAGATTGTCACATATAAACGTTTGAACGAATAACCAAAGGATGGTCCCTGAGTGATTTCACCAGGATAAGGTCTCTGCTTGACTGTGTAACTTATTATTGTTAACGTGTATATTGCTTGCACGTTTTTGATACTTTTTAAAACCAAAATTTTCCAAATAATTGAGGACAACAAAAAGTACACCATCATTCACAATATATAATTTGTTCAGCCACAAGACTGCAATTTGAGATACGGTATAATATCTCAGCCATAGGAACCTATGGTAAAAGCATTATAATACTACCAAAATGGCCACAACAATCATTTTCTCGAAAATTAGGCTGGTAACCCCTAACTATTTTTAAGTGAATATCCTTATATTGGAGTACAAATTATTGGAAAATTAGTATTTGCATTCATGAGTAGGATTCTTTTTTAAGATGGGTAGATGAATGGAGGTAATACAGTAATACACGTCGCTTTTACATGACGCTCACTTTCTTGAAATTGTTGACACAATACATACACTAAGAAATGGCTAGTTGGACCTCTTAATAGATCATCTTCCGTTCACTGCCAGATATCCTCTGTTAATCATGAAATCGAACGTAAAAACAGGAGAAACAAAAGCCATGGCGTCGTAATGACGTCAAAATATTTCATCATGGGATTCGACAAACACGGATTTTTTTTTTCGGTATTTCCATGATTAATAATGTGCTATGCACCTTTTGTGGTAGACGTTCGGTCCGCGCCTTTCTCGCATTACACGAGATCTCGCATCGCAGTAAACAAAAAATCACGTAACTGCATACAGTTAGTACTAATGGGGACGCGTTGAATAATAGGTTCACCATTCATGTATTATTCAGGGGGGAGAAGTAGGCATATTTCATTCAATTAATTATAGAGAGTCACATTTGTTTAAGTATTGTACTTTCGACACCCCCTGAAATTTCTGTCCAGGCCATTAATTAAAAGATATTATTATACATCTGTCACCGTAACGCCATAAGTTACAGCGTGTCGTAATTGTGCGGTATTTTACGGGGTATTTTCATCCTATCATATTAAGAAATGCGAATTCCAAATATGGAATGATTACTCACGTAAGCGTCCTCTAGGGTTTGACCGGATTACAAAGAAGTTCGCTGATTCTGTTCTAAACCTTTTAGATTTCGGCATTTCTATGATGTATCCTTGGTAGGAAAAGATGTTACTTGATAAAGAAATGTTCGAATATAAATGAATAAATAAATACGTGAAATGTCCTTATTTTGAAGCCTTTTGTCATAGCACAAAATCACCACTACAGACAAAACAGGTTTGTCATTATTTTACTCCACACTTGACAAAACATTTTTGTCCCCGACTCACATACTCAGTGAGTACGCCCTCAGCGTTTATTTTTCACGATTTTGAAATTATTGTTTCGCTGATACAGTTTAACGATCCGTATTTTACCCTGTAGCTCTTTCCTAATAATAAAAATCTGACACTTTTGATTTGCATGTAATACATGTTTAAAAAAATGAATTCATTTACAAATACTATAAAAGCCATTTTTCTTTGGAAATACATGTATGTACGAAAAATATACTTTCCTTTTTTTTTTATAATTATCCTTACCATTGACTACAATTAGCTGTGACGTCGTCGGACTGAGGGTTGTCCTCTTTTCTCGTACTTGAGAGAACCGTCATTTGACAAGCCCCTGTGTTTTGGTGGAAGGGGGTAGCCCAATGTAAATGAACTACGAAGAACTACGTAGTTGTTTACGTACGAGGTCATTAGTTCAACAGGAAACGTGTTGTGAGCATGCGCAGTAACATCAGCTTGTTTACAAGGACGTGTACGTCGATGTCAACAACAGTCTTTCCAAGAACTGTATTAAGATTATGATGCATTTCCGATCACTTCGCCTAACCTGGCCTGATCATCAATCATGAGTATGAGATACGCACCACGACAAGCTTGATTATCCCATGCATTTGTGCAAGGTAAGGGTGATATAATATTTCCATTTTATTAATCGTGCTCTTCATGCTTAGGAAAATCAAAACTGGGAAATCTCGAGGTCCTGGTGCTATCTCAAACCCTTCATTACTAATAATAACCAGCTTGAAGAAACTTTTTAACCAGATTCTATCAAACAATGTGTTTCCAACACCAGCTACCTTGTCCCATTACATAAAAGTGGAGACAAATAGAAGCATTATAGAGGCACTTTAAAACTCTATATCAAAACTTCTCAACTATTTTTAGATAATCAAAATTATATGAAAAATACACAGTACACGGTTTTTGATAAAAAAACAAAACAAAAACAAAAACAAAAAACATCGTACCACAGATAGTATTTTCTTTTTAAAATCAATAATGAAAAAATAAATAATTTAATGGTTACTTTGTTGATCTGCTCATGGAAGATAGGACTCCTTCTACCCTGCAGGATCTGCGCAAGGCTTTTGATAGTGTTTTGCGAGATGGCATGCCATACAAATTACTGAAGGGTGGGAGTAACAGGAATAGTGTTCAGATCTATGTATTGTGTTACCAAATACTTGTATGCAATCAAAACTGTTCATGGTTGCACCAATTCATTCTCATCATTTTATCCATTCAACATTCTTTCTGGCAATATTATTTCTAATCTGGTTTGTAATTTCTCACATTATTTTGATAATGTTATAAAAATAATATTTTATTTTATTTTATTTTATTTTATTTTATTTTATTTTATTTTATTCTATTCTATTCTATTCTATTCTATTCTATTCTATTCTATTCTATTCTATTCTATTCTATTCTATTCTATTCTATTCTATTCTATTCTATTCTATTCTCTGTTCTATTCTATTCTA